CAATACTGAAAGGGATACGTACGACCACATACCTTCATACATCGATTATAGTCAAATTGCCTTCGAAATGGATCGCAAATAACTTTGGGAAGATTGAACAAGTGCATACATCTACAAAGAAACTTCTTTACTAATCAATATTCAGCGGTTTGTATCTATGGCCATTTTCAAGCGCTAAAAGCCATAAAAAGTCATATAGTTTTGGAATTTTTCGTAATTTTAAAAGAGTAAGTGAGGAGCTATCACCTATAATGGATCTTGATCGCATCCTGCATTAGGCTTACCAATTCAGCTGCTTTTTCTCTTCGTGCTTTTTCGTTACAAAATAGTTCGTATCTTTGACACCATACGGCTGTGTTGAAGCCATGTCTGCAATGGTTTTGACAATTTACCAGTTTTGATTATTCTTGGATATTGACTAACTTCAAACAAATGAAATGAAAAGTGTGAAAAAGGTAATCGACGAACAAAGGCTGAAAAGAATTCAAAAGGACTTTATGGGGCTCCGTAGATCTATTTCACATTTGAAGCTTCACGAATAACGATCTAGTGATCCCACCTCTTCCATAAGCACTCGTATGGCTCACAGTGACAAGTGAGATCGTAAGAGCATGACTTGCATTTCTGTCTCTTGGCTGATGTACAGAAACCCTCGTAGCGGTCAAACTCGCGATGGCACCAGTCATCGGCTGGATAGTTCACAAGAGAGCAGTGCCGCTGAATTAGGTATGCGAATTTCTCATATGAAATAAATATGTTGACAAACTTACCTTGAAGGCGAGACAAAATGGTACAAGATGCATTGGTGGAGTGTCTTCAGCACATGCTAAGGCATAAGCATCGATATGACCGTAGCAAAGCCGATCTCGCATTAGCTCATGTCTGAAAATGTTTTGAGTTAAAAACAGTTTCAAAAACTACTGTGTACATTACGATATGTTCAATTGTACTAATCTGCGGAGAAGACCTATCTGCAAAGAGTCCAATGGAAAATTTGAGATTCAGAAAATTCAGTTCACCTCGGATTGCAAAAGAAATTTAGCTCTTTTGGAAATCTGTTCGTTATCACAATGACGTCGTTTTCATAGTGTTCATCTTCTCTTTCCTTCTTTGTACCACCTCCAGCAAAAATTGCATCACCTGAAATGGGATATGTTATTTTCTTATTAATATCCATACCTTGACTTTGCCAACCATAAATCGGAAACTC